CCCTGATTATTGCTAGAAAGCCGGCTAGGTGTGGGTGACCAGCTTCTCCGGGAGACATATCCGCTGTAATTATTTCTTGTTGGACTTCGTGACGGACTTCGGGAGGTTGATTTGGGCGAATTTCTAATATTCTCCGATTCCCTATTCATAGAACGAGCCCTGCCTCGACAGGTTCTTTGAAGATGTCCAATATTCTTCTGCAATTAAAGCAACTTCTGCTCTCATTTTGGCTATATCGTTGCATATTTTGCAGGATATTTAAGATTTGTGAGAGGGTAGGTTGAAGGATAGTATTAGTAGTGGCTTCTTCACTTTCCTGGAATCTAATTTCTCTCAATTTTGCGCGAGAAGATCTAGATATAGTTTTTGCTGCTTCGTATTCCTGGGCTGCAATCAGTGTCTCACTCAACGTCTTGTGGTGTTGTAGCCAAAGAGCCTGCTGCATTTCCACATCCTGTAGTCCATCAATAAATGCCTGTATGTCGATTTTTCTAAGAAATCTCTGGGCGCCTGTGGATAGGCCAGATGCAGCAATCTTTTTATATCGGCTTCAAATTCTTGTAGAAGACTCTCATTGGGTGTTTAACTACGAACTTTTAGCTGGCTTTGAAATACCTGTTTCAAATGCTGTTGGCCATACCTTGTTTCCGAAGCTTGGACGAGAGATGAATATCTGGGTTCTTCTTGGGGAAATAACTGTAAAACGGTTGCCGCCTGACCTCGCAGCGACACTATCAATGAAGCCGCTATTTCTTTCTCGGTCCAGCCATTGGCTCTAGCTGCAGCTTCAAATTGGAGTCGATATGTTTCCCATGTTGTCTGACCGTCAAAGGTGAGTGGTTTCAGAGTCTTGCTACTATAGTCTTGTGAGACAAGGGTTCTAATTCAGCTTGGATCGGTTACAGATGAAGACGAGGTAGTGTTTTCAGCTTCAATGTTGCTTACGGAAGCTTAACTACCAATTCTTTTCTCTATCTCTGCCATTTTAGCTCTAATTTTCCTTTTTAACTCTACTATGACCTGTTCTTGTTGATGTTCTAAATTAGTCTTCAAATTCCCTTCTTGTTGTTGTTCTAAATTCGTTTTTAAGTACTCTAAATTAGTTTTTAGATTATCTTGCTGCTGTTCTAAATTATCTTGTTGTTGCGTTAAGAGATCTACTCGGCTGTTTAGCTGACCTACCTCTTGCTTAAAGTTTTCTTAAATTTGCAGCAAACCATTCATAATTTCAATCGCTTCTTTTCTACGCCTCTCTTCCTTCTCTTCTTTCTCCTTCCTGCGTCTTTCCTTCCCTTCTCCCCTTTCCTTTTTCTCTTCTTCTCGCCTTTCCTTTTTCTTCTCTTCTTCCTTCCTACACTTTTCCTTTTCCTCTTTCATCTTCAAAAACCATGCTGGTGGACCTGAAGTATCCATATCTGTTTCATACTCAATGGATCTAGTATTTACCATGAACTTCTATTTTATATCTCACCGCTGTCACCAATGTTACGCAGGTTTTTGGTATCTCAATTTATTTCAACTCAACTTTAACAATAATTATACAACTGATAACATTAACGTATAACGTCTTTCATAAAACTGAAAAACTGACATCAGGATCACTTCATATATAGCTTGCTTTAACCTTCTCGAATCTTCTCGAACTGTCTAGACTTTTCCTTGACGTGGAATGACATTTCCAGACATTTCTGGACTATTCTCTCTTCTTTTGCTAGTACTTTTACTTATGACGACCGTAGCACATTGTAGGGCGATGAGTAACATTGCACTTCTTTTTATATTCGTACGTTTCCTATAACAGCCACATGCTACTGCAGGGTGCTGCGTAACAATATTATAGACGAGATAGCCGAGAAGAAGGAATTGAAATTCTCAGATTGCCTCTTACCTCGCAGAGTTAAATTCCACTGAACTGTTCTGGTCACAATTAAAAAATTATGTTTCAGATGTAAATGGAGAACATTACAGAAAATGCATTGATCATGTTAAAAAGGTGGAAAATTTATTTTGGAAAGTGGATATAGCAATGGAAACCTTAATAGACCCTATAATAATAAACCTCAAAAAAGACAATGATAATGATACTTTTAAAGATAGTTTAACTTTTTATTTTTGTTAATCTTTGATTTTATGTACTGAATTGTTACTTTTAATGCCAATAGATTAAAAAAGTGTAATCCCATTAACAACATATTGTGACGAAGTCACTAAATTTTGCTCTCAATTAATTTTAAAAATGTATATTTCAATTAATTCCCGTCTGAGGACATGTATTTCTGTTTCCCAGGAATTACCGTTTTTCAACAATTGCGAGTACCCTCGTAGATTAAAATATTCCTATATTGGTCGAAATCCGAATGGGCATTTTGTAGAGTCGATTTAGTACCAATTATCTACCTTTATTTGTCAAGGTACTAGAAGGACATTTTTTTTTATTTTTAAATTGTGAACAGTCGGCTGTAGTAGTGGTATCCCCCACTCGGACTTACCGAAAAGCATAAATTCAATCACATCTGGGAATTACTCTCTCTTGATTTCTAGTAGCCGTAAACTCTTATCTCCTGCAGTGTCGAGTGAAATACTCTGTGAGTGACCGTGATATCGAAAGAATATTGAACAACTCCGTTTATTTTCCTAAAGTAGGAAACCGCATATTATTTTTTATTTTTTTTATATAATTAGTTGGGACACCCGTGCGACACGTGAAAAATGTTGATTCATATCCAGTATATTTCATTTCATCCCTCAGTGGAAAACCGTTGGCAATTTTTTTATTTGAGGCTGGATATAGGCTAGACTCTGAGTGCTCTCGTTGTCAACGACTAAATCCAATCTCTCTTTTAAAGCGCCCAGTTAACATTGAAGTGAGAGGTTCAACCCGTTTTAATTTTTTTTTATTTTATTTTATTACTTTTGGGGAAAAAAACCGGCTCGTTATTTTCTTTTTCGGAGATTCGATCCGTCCCCGGATTAAGAGTGATCTCTGTCCTGACGGCTTTATCTAATTTCCCAAAAAGACGTCTAAACTAATTTTCGCGCCTCACTCCATGTAATTTTCTTTTCTTTTATCTATTCATTCAGCTGTATTTGAATCATTCCGTTCCCCGTCCACAACTAATTATCGAACGAAGACAGACGATTTCTGTAAAATCAATTCACACACCGTCTTGATCGCTTTTGGGCAAATCTCAAAATAATTTTTACGTTAACCATCGCATTCTTGTTCCAAACACCGCGCTAAAAATTATCATTCTCGTTCAATGTAATTGTCAGAGTTTCAATCGGTCTGAACTAAGATACAGGGACGTTCCGAAAACTTTCATTTATTTGCTTACATTTGATTACCGTCATATTTAAATAAATTATTTTTAATAAATTTTCCGTATACAGGGAGTTTCATAATTCCCGGACCGCTTAGCTTCCTGTGCTAACGAACCGTAAATATTTCCCAATATTTAATTAGTTTTCATTTGAAATAATTTATTTTTAATAAATTTTCCGTATACAGGGAGTTTCATAATTCCCGGACCGCTTAGCCTCCTGTGCTAGCGCACCGTAAATATTTCCCAATATTTAAATAGTTTTCAATTGTAATAATTTATTTTTAATAAATTTTCCGAATACAAGGAGCCGTTAATATTTAATTAGTTTTCATTGGTAATAATTTATTTTTAATAAATTTTCCAAATACAGGGACCCGTTAATATTTGACTAGTTTTTCAATTGTAATACTTTAATTTTAATTATTTGTCTTTAAGCTTATTCAATTGTAATCATTCATTTTATTTAATTTTCCGTTTACAGCCGTGCCAGAACCGTGCACTACCACCGTTGTATTTTTTTTTGTAAAGATATATTTTATTACCTATTCCTGTGTTTCTCTTATTACTGGTTCTTAACCGTTCTCTTTCAGGGTACCGCCTAGAATTATTTTTACCTCCACTGAGTTTACCTTGAGTACACTCTGGTGTACCACAGGGTCGCAGAGCAAACTGCGATACCAAAACTGGCGTCTGAGCAACCCCTATTCGGGAATCACCATCATAGCGCCACGCAGACTCGCTGATTCACTGTAGGTGAACCAGAAGCCTGTCACAATATAATCATCCGTGTTATTTATTGGTTATATTTAATTTGTTCAATGTTAAAGTGTGCTACAAAAGGTTTATTTTTATTTTTTGTAAATAATAACTTTTTTCATTCAAAATCTACAAAGTGCGTATACACTATTTTATGTGTTTACATTATAGAAAATTATTTTGCAAAGTGCGCCTATGGAATGTGACGTTATATCCCCACTTTTAATGCACTCCTCTTTTACTTAGACTACAATATAAAACAATCTGAATACTTGCAATTAAATAAGGGTTTAATTGTGAATAAATGGATTAGTCTAGTAGTTTTTTGTCGTTGGGTTCTACTATGTGGCTGCGAGACCTGTAGACTCCTAGACATTTAACAGGTCGTCGAAGAAGTACATTAAACCTTTAAAATATTATTGCTTCCACCTTTAGAAAATTTCTGAAAACCACTGAGTTTTTACTCCTTGATTTTTTATAGAAAACTGGTTATAAAAATAATGGTACCATTAAATATTATTTAATAATATATGCAATTATTTTTTCTTATTAGGTCATGTAATTAATATTAATGATTAATTGTAGCTAATTAATAATTCTTAAAATGTAATAAAATTGGAATTTTCTCACAAATATAAGTGAAGTTAGTGTAACACGAAAAAACTCTTGAGGCATACGTAAAATCTTTAAATAATTAAGAAATAAACTTTCTTACAAAATTTTAAATTACCAAAATTATTAGCTACCACCAAGAGGTACAATTTTAAAAATAATAGAAGCAGCAAAAGCAAGATATCTGGAAAATATTTAAATTCATCTGACAAATGAACCTAAATCTATGGTTACTTGTGTAAAAAAAAATTAAATTTAGAATCCCTTATAAGAACAATTAGTAATTCGTTTTTAAAATTGTATACTTACTCTTCCTTGCATAGGATCATAAAATCGTTGAATTAACTGGATACAAGTACTTTTTCCACATCCTGAACTTCCTACTAAAGCAACTGTTTCCCCTTTATTTATCTTAAGGTTAAATCCTTGAAGAACCTAGAAAATTTTAATAAAAAAAAATTATTATTTAGTTTTATGTTAATAATTAAAATTTGTTAACAATCTATAAACCTAGCTGGTAATGACATTTGTGTGATAAAAATTTACGGAGTGTTCCAAAAATGTTTTTAAAGTAGTTAATGGAAAAAATCACGAATGGGGTTTTCTTTATATATCTATAATTGCAAATTTACAATCTACTCAAGAATATACAAAGTAATAAGTAAATGAATTGGTTTCTTGTTAGATGACATGAGGCTGGCACCATCCATCGATGGGTCTCCAGGGTTTTATTCTGAGAGGTCTTCTGGCCAGTGACGTTTTAGTCTTCTGCGATCCAGTATATAGGTTAGCTATCAATGGATTTGTATGATTTTCATTCCTACTTTTGTTTTTGTTAGCTAAGGTCATTGACTATTGGAATTCCAAGATCGTTATGTATTGTGTGGTTGCTTACGAACCATGGAGCACTAGTTATCGTTCGAAGTGGTTTGGATTGGAACGTTTGTAATATTTTGGTGTTCGATGGTTTGCTACAACCCTATAGCTCTATACCATATGACCAAATTGGCTTCAGTATGACTTTATAGAGGTCGTTTTTTATTTCAAAGGGGACATATTTCGATCATATCCTCAACTATCCTACATCCCTCCCCACCCATCTGTCACTATTACCAATGAAATTGAAATAGGGAAAGTACTAAGTGTGACACATCATTAAAAAGGTAATTTTATAAGGAATTTGACTGTGTGACATGTGACAGTTGAAATAAGCGTATTGTCATGTGAAAGCCAAATTTAAAAATTTAATGCATAATTACCTTTGGAATAAAATTGAACTATGTTTTCGTAAAATATAAATAAAGGTTTTTATTTGCATAACTACCAGGTCTGTTTTTAGTTTAGCGTCATTGATACTTCAAGTCTATTAGCGAGTAAAACATAAAAATGGTTTATTCTATTCAGGAGAGAGTAGAAATTGTTGAATGTTATTTAAAAAATAACGAATGTGCTAACACTGCCTGTACAATTTTCAATGAGCGACACCCAAACAAACAGGTTAAACGTAAGTACGTTTTGGAACTTATTTCAAAATTTCGACAAACAGGATCTGTGCAAAATAAAAAACGGCAGATTCAAAATCAAGTAAGAAACGAAGCCGTAGAGGTAGCCGTTTTAGGACAAGTTGTTGCAGATCCAACTCTTAGTACAAGAAAGCTTGCAGAATTATCTGGAGTAAGTGACCGTACCGTCAGGAGAATTTTGAAAGCCAACAAATTCCATCCCTATAAAATTCATTTAGTTCAGGAACTTAACGAAGACGATTTTGATCGCCGCTTGCAATTTTGTGAAATCATGAGCGAGCATGCTATACAAGATCCACATTTTCTTTATAACATTTGTTTTTTAGATTACTGGAAAACACCGTTGATCCACTGTTAACAGACACAATAGAAAACGATAACCAATACCTTGAAGATCAACAGGACGGGGCTCCTCCACATTTTGCTGCAGCGGTTCGTCAGTACTTAAATGAAAACTTTCCTAGACATTGGATTGGACGAAGAGGATTTATTGAATAACCCCCACGATCTCCCGATCTGTCCCCCTTAGATTACTTTTTATGGGGATATCTGAAAAGTAAAATATACGCCACTCAGCCAGGTTCCTTAGAAGAGTTACGTGAACGTATTATTACCGAAAGTCGTCAAATAACTCCAGAAATGCTCCAAAACGTCCGACAAAGATTTTAGAATAATTTATATTGTTGTATGGAAGTTAATGGACAACACTTTGAGCATTTACTTTGAAGTAATTTAGTAGTTGTCCTAAATTTTTCAATTTAATTTTTATGTTCACTTTTCTATTATTTTTTTATTTTTATTATGAATTGTCTATTATATGAGTTTTACTTTCAAATGAAGTATCATTATTTAAAATACGGAAACTTTTCCCGAAAGATGGCGCCAAAATCAAAAGTTACGTAATAAACTGTCACGCAGTTAAATTCTTTATAAAATACCTTTTCAATGATGTGTCAAACTTAGTTCTTTCCCTATTTCAATTTCAGTGGTAATAGTGACAGAAGGGTGGGGAAGGATGTAGGATAGTTGAGGATATGATCGAAAGATGTCCCTTTTGAAATAAAAATCGACCTCTTTTGCATTTTCTCCAAAAAAAATGTGTCTTCAAGACATGCGATCTGTTTCGTTTTCGGTGCCTCACCCTGTAGAAGTACCTTGTTTTCAAGTGATAACTGTGAGCGACGACCAATTAACCAGTTCATTTTTTGGGTTTTTAGCTTCTAATATTCTTTTTTAGCTTTGACAGGAGTTTGCCAGGTTAACTTTTGATCTAAATGTAATCCAAGATTCATATTCTTGATGGAAACTTGTGGACAAACACTGCGTTTTGTTGTGAACGTGATTTCTGTGGATTGATCAGTGTTAACTTTTATCCTCCACTGTTGCAGCCAATCTTGTAGTAGATTTAAATGAAATTGTAGCCTTTCTGATGCTCATATAGGATCTCGATCTGATGACATAATTGTCGTATCGTCTGCAAAGGTGGCGTTTACTGTACTGTCGTTGGTCCGAATATCAGCAGCATATAGTAGGTAGAGGTAAAGGCCAAGTACGCTTCCTTGAGGAACACCTGACTTTGTGGATTGGTAATTGGATAAACAGGTTTGAACTTTGACTTGTATAAATCTGTTGCTTAGATAGTATTTGAGTAATAGGAAAATGTGGTGAGGTAATAGCTGCTTTACAAAGACATTATTTTGTAATGTCTTTGCTGCTTTATCTTGTCTAGCAGTCCTTGGTGCCATACTTTGTCAAATGCCTGTTGAATCTCTAAAAATACAGAGGCACAGAATCTCTTTTGTTCTAAATTTCTTTTGATACAGTTTACAATTCTATGGCATTGTTGGATTGTCGAATGTTGTTCTCTGAAACCAAATTGATGTATAGGTATCAGTTCATCTTTAGGTATTATTTCGCTAATTCTGTTGAGAAGGATCCTGTCGAAAACTTTAGATAACTGTGGCAGTAAACTTATAGGTCTATATGAATTGGAGTCTTGCAGAGATTTTCCTGGCTTCACGAACATAATTATTTGAGCATATTTCCGTTGTATTGGGAAATGATTAGTCTGCAGTATTCTATTAAATATTGTGGTAATAAGTACAATTGCTTTTCTTGGTAGATATTTTAAAACTTTTCCAACAATGAGATCGTACCCAGGAGCTTTGTGTGGGTTTATTAATTGTATTTTTCGATATACTTCAGCTGGGGAGATTGATCTTAAAGGAGGTGATAGTTGGTTGGGAGAGCTCAAATATGTTTCTACCTCTGCATCTGTATTTGGATTAACTGATGGTATTGCAGTAAAAACTTTAGCTAAGTTTCCTTAATGGTGGAATTGCAACAACGGATCTCTTGAATTTTTGGTAGCTTTCCATAGTGTGTGATTTTAGGGTGATAAATTGGAAATGTAGTAATAAAATGTAGCATTTCGGTTTTCATTTAAAGCGTTCTTTATACGGTGAGTCTGTTCAGAATTGATTTATCTCGAGGATTTCTGGTTGCTTGCCATATTCTTCTAGCTGTTCGTTTCTCAGTTACCAATTATTGTCTTATATTAAGTGGGATATTGTATGATTCCACCGTTTCTTTGTGGATTTTTCGCGTTGATTTCCAGGCAGCGTTCTGAATGAGGTTTGTCATATATTCAATGGCTTCATCTACTTCTTGTGGTTCCTGTAACGAATGACGTTTAAATTTAATTTAGATTCGTGCGTACTTACCACGACATTACTAGTATCTCTGTTTTTGTCAATCATTACTTGCTTTAGAAACAGTTTTGGTGGATTAATCTTTATTAATAAACACATTAAAGAAAACACATATTTCTCAGTACAATATTTTCAAATTTCATTAAAATCACTGAGGATTTATTCTGAGAATCTAATTTCACTATCAGTGTTTTAAAACGTGTTTTTTTCGTAATTAATAAATGGGCAAACATGGAAAAAATGTTAAAATAATAATTGTGAATTATTAAAAAATATATTCTGCGGATTGCCTACTTTTTATAAAATGAATTAAATAATCTGTAAACTTTCTTGAAATCCTGATTCTGATTCGAGTACCTCTAGAGGTCGCTTCTTTTTTAGAGTGGACCTCTTGTGCTCTGTAATTCAGATTTTTTTCTATTGATTTGTTTTTTAGTCACCGGATTCATATCAGAAGTAACAAAAATCTCCGAAAAAGTGATTAATTTTATCGAGGTATATTGCACAGTTTTACGGCGCTTTAAAGCAGCAAAAGGCACTTCATCATCTGAATCAGAAGCGTCGTGACCGTTGACCTAGGGTTTCATTCTGAATCTGTTGTTGCTATGTGGGAAGACTTTGTCTATATGCGTGGTTAGGAATGACACTTTCTCAAATGTGGCTCTTATCCACATAATACACCAAAAATTAACTTTGTCTTGGTGAATAAATTAGTCATTTATGAAACGACGCACTCTAAACAACCGGACAAGGTCGTCTTAACGTTGAGCATATCTTTAGTTAAACTAGGACGTTGTTACAACGTTTACTTAACGGACTAAAAGTAGTAAATATTTCGGGAATGGGAATAACCTTGTAAAAACAAACAACAGACAACTTTGGTTAAGTTATACGTTTTCGTGGAGTCATCTTTGCAACTAACCTAATAACATTTTTTTTTCCCTGGGCTCGTCTGTCTATGTGTCTCCGAAAAACACTGAAGCCTATTGGCTTATTGTGTTTTACCCCATGTTAGTTCATAGCACCCACTCTATCACCTTTGTACCTTGTACAAGTTTGTACAGATCCTTGGGTGAGTGGGTTCTATACGTTGTTGGATCAACCTGGGTTTGTCCAAAAAGAGCCTGTCTTTTGCGATCTAGAGCTTCGCATTCGCACAGTATGTGTTTGGCCGTTTCTGGTTTCTTGTGACATAGTCGGCACATGAGTTCCCCATTGTACATGCCAATTTTGTTCAAGTGTCCCTTTACTGGGGCGTGCCCAGTCATGAACCCTGTTATCACTTTCAACTGGTTCCTATTCATTAAGAGTAGTTCTGCAGTTCTTTTGGGACATGGTCTGCCTATGAAGGCTTTTCCATGTGCCTATTTTGGGGTGCTTCCCCAATAGTTGATATGTTGTTACCGAATCCAGTCATTTATAAAACCCCGAACTGTACTTTTTGGTACTCCTGGGTTTGTGTCTGGTTCCGGTGTTTCTTCTGACCCTCTTTTTGCAAGTTCGTCAGCCTTTTCGTTGCCTTCGATCCCTTTGTGACCTGGCACCCAAAATAGTTTTACTCTATTTCGGTCTGCCAGTGTTCTTAATTCTTCGATGCATTCCCATACCAGCCTCGACCTAACTTTCTGACTCGATATGGCCTTAAGTGCCGCTTGGCTGTCTGACATTATTTGAATATGCTGATTTTCGACAGCTCTTTCATTGTTCGTTTTTGCACATTGCAAAATTGCATATACCTCGGCCTGAAATACCGAGGAATGTATTCCTATAGCATAGCTATGGTTAGTATCAGGGTTTTTTGGAGAATACTCCTGCCACAGTGCCTTCCGCAGTCTTAGACCCGTCTGTATACCAGGTTTGTTTCTGTCGTTGGGCATTGGGCTCCCTTATGGTGATCTCCGCTCTTTCCTGTATTAAAACCTCAAAGGGAGTATTAAAAGAGTACCTCTTGGTTATGTGGTCTGATCTCATGTCTAGCACGTCTCCTGTCACTAACCTTGAGATACTCATGTGACCTGGTCTAATGTCAAGATTTCCCAGTGTATTCCCTAATCTGTAAGCACCTAATCTTGCCTCCCCTTGTATCACATAGTGAAGAGGTGGGAGTCCTATTAGTGCTTCCATTGCAGCAGTGGGGGTTGTTTTCATTGCCACCGTTATTCCGAGGCAGGCAAGTCTTTGTACCTTGCTTAGCCTCGTTATTGCTTTCCTTTGCTGTGTCTTTGGCCACCACACCAAAGCTGCGTATGTTATTATGGGTCTCACCACCATGTTATAAAGCCAGTATACCATGTCTGGTTTTAACCCCCATTTTTTTCCAAAGGATCGCCTTGCCATCATTAATGAGGTTTCCGCTCTCCTTGTGGTTCTTTCTAGATGCTGGTTCCAGGTAAGTCTCGAGTCAATCATTACCCCGAGATATTTTACCTCCCCCTTAAGCTGGATTCTTGCACCTCTTAGGTTTAGTCCTTCCGCCTCTGTCCATTTTGTTACTATATTTAGAGCCTCTTGCATTCGATCTCTTACTAAAGTGTTGTATTTTCCCTGTGCTATGATCACTAGATCATCGGCATATCCCAAGGTTCTATGTCCCTTATCTTTGAGAGCCCTAAGCAGCCCGTCCACTACAAGGTTCCACAGGAGTGGAGACAGCACTCCACCCTGTGGACATCCTCTCGCTACCCGTGCCGCTGTTGTCTCTCCCATAAGGGTTGTGTGTTTAGTTCTCTCCCTTAACATAGAGTCGATCCAGGACACGCATGTGTCCTCGATTCCTCTGTGTTTGAGAGATCTAATGATCGATTCAATGAAGGTATTGTCAAATGCACCCTCGATATCCAAGAATGCTAATAACATTAAACATTTTGTATTTTGCTTGAAGAAAATAGAGCACAGTAAAATAGTGCTTGGTGATTCTTTTTTTTTTTTGTGTGGTAATCGTTCCAGCAATCCATTATTCAGCAAGTATGATAAAATCGATGGGACTTTGACTAAGAAGACAACGCCCCTGAAAGGTAAGCTTTTTTTGCAAAAATTGCAGAACACCCTAAAATTTTTATTACAAGCCGCCACTGGTTTGAGTCAATATTAACTTTAAATATAATTTATCTAATTTTTTTATTTTTTAATTTTGAGAAATTCGCGACGGATTAAAGCAGCGCGTGTTTTTTGGCATAATGCGTGGGGGGAGGCATTGCCATAAATCGTAAGAAATTTCTTTTCGGGGGGGTGGCATGGACCCCATGTCCACCCTGTAGCCGCCCTTGCTTGAGAATAAGACTATAACATGCGGTAGTAGTTGTCAGAAAGTTTTCTATAAGAGCGTGCACGCACTGGCCGATCAGGTCGCGACCACTATCCATTCATGTTAACTATGCAGGGCGCAGTACCGACCACGACCAAGAGGTCACGACGGCCAACGAAAATCTGCTCAACATGCAGAAGGCCAGTAAAACGTCGCGACCAACAAGGGAACCGACCAACTGCTACCTATAGTTGAAACGGCAACGTTATAAAAACCCAAAAATGATTGACCGAATCAGTGCAATACAGGGTTATGATTTGAAGTGGGCAAAATAATTGATTAATCGATTACTCGATTATTAATCGATTAGTCGATTATTTTTTTAATCGATAATCGATTTTTTTTTTTTAATCGATAATCGATTATTTTCGGTTATTTTCAATTAATCGATTGTTTTCGAAATAAACGATTATTTTCGTTTAATTGACTATTTTCGATTATTTTTGATTAACCGATTACTTTCGATTAATCATTCGCCTTCCCCAAATCGGTGTAAAAACTATTTTTTCCAATAACGCAGCAACCCCTCGTCCCAAAAATTTTTGAAAGAACAGAATACGCTTTTGTCTAAGGATTGCAGTTCGTTAGTGGTGTTTAAAGAAAGAGATTAACTCTTCCTTTAAACGCCAGCAACGGGAAATCCACTTATTAAAAATGGATTGTCTGAAAAAAATGTGACGTAACATCGTCAAATATTAAGAAAACTGGCCATTCAATAAACAAGGAAGTGATTGAGCTGCCGTCACTTGAGATCCCGGTGGTAATCTGTCACTGAAAGTTGATTTGAGCCTTTGCCCTTAAAATAATATCACGGGCGAAATAACATTTCCTAAAACATTCCCGCGAGCAGCAGAAGTGCAATTTTCGCATGTTCTGGGGCTACTAGATGGACTCATTTGTTACCCTTTTTTTGGCTATGACTTGCTGGTGCAAGGTTAGTTCATGTTAAATATTTTTGCCGGTTGATATTTTAAGCCATATTTTTCCAGAAGATTATTTAGTTTTTAATATTTATTAATAAAAAAGGAAATAAGCTTCGCTGTCCTAGCAGGATTCATCAATTGGATCTTTTGTTGAGTCAAGCAAGAATGTCGTTTTATAAAAGCTTTATTTCAGCTACATCCAGATTTTTTTTATTGTTGAAATGGCTGGAGGTTCCTCCATTTTCCACGTATCTCTACATTTCTTCATAGTGCTTTGGGTATCAAGGGAAATTCTATTTTCTGAACTAAATGAGCTTCTTGATTCTTAGCCAATGTAAATCTTGCTCCAATTTTTCTTAGGATGCGATGTGGAATACTACATGTTTTTTTCCACATAACACTATCTTCCTTGGCGAAGGAAGAAGCACGGCTTCTTCTGTCCAATTGTCCTTCATGCCGCGACATTTCTTACCCATATTCCTGCAAGAAAATTATAAAAACGTACAGAGTACTATGGCCCATTAGAAAGGGTAATATTATCCACAATAAAATTATTTTGAGGTCAAGTTAAATTGAAAACAAACATTATAACATTGAATAATGGAGTAGTAAGTGTATTATTAAGTAAACTTAAACTTACCTCTATTATAATTCACTATCTAGCACTTTTTTAAGAAATCCGGTCGTTGAATCAAACAAAATTTATCAATTCATACAAAATAATACTCTGGCTTTTCCTTGTAGGTAACGGACCAATACATATATGGCGCCATAATACTTATAAATTCATTATTTTTGCCGTATTATCCAGAGGGATCTTATACTGACGAGTCTAGTGAAGATCTCGCATACATTTTGAAGTCACAGTGCGCGTAGTAATAATAGGATTCTGCGCATTAGATTAATTTTTTCTATCAAATTATATACTGCGCAGATCCTGGTGAGAGACTGATTTCTGATCGTTGTGGGAACAGATCTAATAATAAGTCGGAATCACGTATTACACCTATTACACCCTGAATAAGCATATTACCTTAACATCCGGTCTCGATGGGTAATTGAAGTAAACGTTATCAAACGTTATATTCGAGGAGAGTACATTCAATGTTTGTCCATTATTTTCATCTCTCTTTAAAATGGATGTACTGTTCAAAACAAAAAATACTTTTTTAGATGCCCCCACGGCACCGGCGATGTTCTCAAATAAAGGCGGCATAAATTCCCAATTCCAAAATGCTGTTAGTATAAGGAAAAATATCTGAAAAATCACGGTGAATGAGGAATAACATTCTGAATGTATATTAGGTTATCATAAAGTAAGGAATATGCAATAATTAATTACTTATATTTTTGAATAGATAATAAAGGTAACTGATGGAATGTTTTCTGTCCAAAAATTAGAATATATCATCCTGGTTGTTGTAATATTGGCAATTTTTCCTCCAAATTACACACATTTTAACTTTTCTAAATTAATTGCATTAATTTGAACCCTCATACTTATTAGCAAATTAAAGTTCACTCCTTACTCTATTTGTTTATAATATAATAAAGTTAAAATCCAAAGTCGTTAACATTACATTTAGTACCTATTGAAAAATATCTTGATATTAATTTAAAAAATTATCATAAAAGGGAAACAGGTCTATCTTTGCTATGAGTGAAACATTGACATATAAATAATAAAAAAGAATTGAATATGGAAAAAACTTTATGGGTTACAATGTAGATGTTAGAATCATTACCGTAAATAAAGATGATGGGGTATAAACTCGATCTTCAAGCGGTAAATATTTATCTTCAATAATCAATTTAACGCCGACCCAAAAAGCCAAAGCGAAGCCGCTATAACCCAAAAACAAGTATATTCCTTTTCCAAATCCATTCCAGAATCCTCTTTTTATATTATTGGCTTTAGCTTTAATCAAATGTTTTTCGTATCTTAATTTTTCTTTTTCTTGACCTTCGAAGGCCACTACAGTTTTTATGGAAGTTAAAACTTCCTCAGCTATTGCACCTGCGGCCCCATATAATTCAATTTCTTGTTCAGTAAATTTTCTGGAAAACTAAAAAATTCGTTTCAGCTTTTTTTGCATTTCAACGCGACTTCAACTGCTATGTATATAGTTCATACTTACCCATGAAATTATGAATGATAGTGTTATAAACAGTACCAAGGATAGTGAGCCTACTAAAGCTAACTTCCATCCTTTTATTAAACTGAGTACAATTCCTGCTACAATAGTAGTTGATAGATAAAGATAAACGGCAACCAAGTCACCCATTCCATCTTCCATTTTAGAAAGATTGCTAAAAAAATAATTTCAACACTTTTGTAACTAGATAATATTGTTTATCAATTAATTGTAAAAATTTACACTTTATACCCCGATAAATTATGTTAGACTATTTTATGGAAAAAAAAATGTTTTCGAGTCCTGACACAATTCCTGCAGATTTTTATGTAAAACATCCACCATTTTCGGGGTAGCCACCCGCACCTTTTTTATCACTTTTGTTATGAGGGACTATACGTAGAGATGAATAGTTCCAAAAGATCAGCATTTGCAGCACGAAAGTAACTTGCGGGGATTTGCCTCTTTAAATTGAAAAAATCATTAAAAATTATCGATTTTCCGTTTTTTTCTTTTTTCGAAATCGTATCTATTATTTTCTACATCTTCCAGTTTCCAATCCCCCTCATCCAACCCCAAACACAACCAAATATTAAAAAATATATAGCGACAGTTTGGAGGAAGTGAAATGCGATCATATTGGCAGAGTGCTATTGATTGTTGCAAGCACCAATGAAGGTACTCATTTTATTATTTATTATTTTTTCCTTTTTTTTATTATAATTTACATTTTATATTACTATTTTACTTTTACTTTTTACATTTATTATTTTACTTTTTATTTATTATTCTTTACAGTTAAAATCCTTTCAACCCTCCAAATCAAATTCATGGCCATACAATTATGGAAAAGTGATAAAAATGGGTGGAGGGGGTTTCCCCGAAAATGGTGGGTGATGGGGGAAAACACGGGGGACAGTTTAGAATTCAGGACTTCATTTTACATAAGAATCAGTAGGAATGATGTCAGGTCCGGAAAAAATTCCCGTGCAAACTTTTGCACTTCCGAACTGTTGCTATATAATTTTGTTATTGTTTCTATATATTTTTAATATTTGGGATGGTTGGGACGGATGAGGAAACTGGAATATGTAGAAAATAAGTCAAAAGATTGCGGAAAAACAGAAAAATCGATAATTCCATGGTTTCAAGGAATAAGGGGATAAGTCATTTTTGGGTCAAAACAAGTAAATCAAAAGTTTAACCTAGCAATTAATTTGAAATCTATATAAATTCATGCCCATTTAAAATCTGCAGTTCAAATCTCCTAAAAAGTAGCAAATTTGGCTTTATCCCCTTATTTCCCAAAACCATCGAATTTTTATTGATTTTCTCTTTAAATTTAAGGAGAGAAATTCTTCCCATAGATCTTCCTCTTTGCTACAAAAATGTTTTAGAGTTTTTGGCCTCTCTAGTGCCTCAATTTTTCTGCCAAGGCTAAAAATGCTGCTTTTCATCCCTCCAAATTATGAAAAAGTGATAAAAATAGGTGGGGAAAACAGTGAGAATTTTTTTTTAAACACAAAGGTAAGTCAAGTTTTATTCTAAGATCAACATATTTCATCATATCATCAGCTGTCATACGTCATTCCCCTCTACATCGTCATTCTAACCAATACAATGCGCTAGTTCAGTGATGATGTAATTATGGTTCCACTGACAATTAAAGTGACAGTAGATTTTTTGAGTGCGTTTTGTTCGTTTTGTTTACCTAAATTATATCGTTCTTTCACTTAATACTTATAAATATATTCATAAAGTAAGTAGATAGCATGCATTAAATATACAATCGCTTAGTTACCAATTACATACCTTTAAACTATTTTTTATGACTTGTTAACAATATTTAGAAATAAACTAAACACAGTAAAAACGTATATGTCAAATTTATTGATGTTTTTGTTAAAAGTTTGGTGAGAATTAAATGTCAGTGGAACCAAAATACATCACACTGAACTAGCTCATTTAAATACTAAGTATGAGCCATCATTGGAAAGGTAATTGTATGGGGAATTTAGCAATATATCTCTTCATTACGTTACTTTTGATTTTGGTGCCTCCTGGTCGGAAAAAAACTGTTACGTAATGGAAAGTGTATTCAAAAGCTATTTTTTTTTTTTCTTTTTCAATGCACAACGGAACAAAACATAATTGAATAAAACCTGAAATATGAGGTTTTTAACGACAACACGAAACGTGTGGTCTATTAGACCACCACAAATAAAAACTTAATTTAAAAACGATGGTAATAAATATATGATGGCGGTTATGGATTATTTCACGAAGTGGGTGGAAGTCTACGCCATTTCAAATTAAGAGGCTGTTTAGACGTGTTAATAAAATAATTCATCAGTAGATTTGGAGTGCCTTTGGAGATCCACAGTGACAACGGCAGAAATTTTAAAAGTCGGCTTTTTCGAGGAATCTGTGACAGACTGGGCATAAAGAAAACGAGAACTACAGCATTGCACTCACAGTCGGATGGAGTGGTAGAGCGAATGAATAAGACGATTTGAATATACCTGTCAAAAGTAGTTTCCAACCATCAGCGAGATTGGGATAAGTATATTTCGCTCTTCGCAAGGGCATATAGATCCGCCGTTAATGAATCAACAGGCCAAACACCAGTAAAAGTCCTGTTCGGGCGTGAGATGAGATTACCGTGTGACCTCGAGTTTGGATGCCGGTGGAGATTATGTGATCCCGCTACAAAGAAAAATGAACACCATACATGAATTAGTTCGCTTGCATCTTTAAATCGCCAGCGACAGAATAAAGAAGCGATTCGATACGCAAGCCACAGAAGGATGTTTCAAGGAAGGCGACAAAGTCTGGCTCCATAACCCAAAAAGACAAAAGGGTTATTCTCCGAAGCTTCAAAGGTCTTGAGAAGGTCCGTACCTTATTAAAATAAATGACGTCATTTACCGTATAAGTAAGATTCCGAACGGTAAACCGGAGATAGTTCTCCAAAACCGGCCGGCTCCATTTGAGGGTAACCATGACGAGGAAGAAGAAATAAACCAGCTCCAAGAATCACCTGTCCTTATCTTTGGAGAATTTATGGGTGCATATGGAGGTACCAGAAAATCAAGATATGATGTTACAACCGAGCCACAACAAGATCTGATCACGGTTCCTAAAGACTACTCGAAGGTCCATAACACTTCAGCCAACATCAACGACGCTCGAGGTTTGGCATCTGTGTTCCGGAAGAAGTTTGGTCGATTGCCAGAACTTCAAGATCAGTTACTAGCCCCTGGAAAAGCATTTAAACTTCAAGATGGATCGCGTTATCTTTTCTATTTGGTAACAAAAAACACCTTCCGAAATCGATCTTACTTATCATAATGTATAAGAAGCATTACTTGGTCTGAGGGAGCACGTACTTGAATCCAATGCACAAAAACTAGCCTTGCCCAAGATCGAGAGCAACCAGCTAAATTGGAGAATTATAAGAAACATGATGGAAGTAATCTTCCAAGACGTCCAGGTTGAAATACTGGTCAGCAGACATTCTCCCAGCGTTCAGGTTATAGCGAAGACCGTTCCTTGTTACTTCCATGCAACTGGAAATTGTAAAAGAGGATCGAGTTGCAGATGCAACCATTCAAATTTAGTTCCAGGAGGAACTATTTTTTAAGGGTCAATGTTGTGAGAACTCCTAAGCCAACCCTCTTTCGCTCAGCCTTTGCAAGTCGCTTCGTCTATGTTTCGATTCGCAGGACAGAGACAAACGCACTGCTTCGATAAGCTACCATATGAAGCGGTACGTGGCCGGTGAGTCATAGAGGGAGTTCCCAGATATTCGAGATCGCCTAGAAACTACTGGTACAGAGCTGGCTTTGTATAAATAGCGCGAGTTTACCGATAAAGATTAGATTGAATTTAAGTGTTGAACAGTAAAGATAAATTATAATAAATAAATTAGAATTGTGAGTTAGTGCCTAAGTAGTATATAAATTAATTAGTACATTATAAATAAATTATAAATAAAGTGTTCTAAATAAATAAACTATAAATAAATTAAATAATCGTTACAGTACGGTATACCTATATAAAGTATTATTACATCCGCTGTTTGAAATTTGTAAAAATATTGAGGTCGATTGTTATTTTCAAATTTAAAAAAATCGATTTCGGAAAATGGAGAATGCAGTCTTGAATCCAAAAGTGGGTATTTTGGAAGAAAAATCGGTTGAGATCCAAAAAATAAATGCAATTTTGAAAATTATAAAAATGAAAATTCCCTAAATCTCCCTACGAAATTATGAAAATTATAACTTCATATCCCTAAGGTGAAAACAAGCCATAGAAAAATTTAAAAATTTGAGAATTAAAGAAAAGAAAAAACTGCGTCGACCGGGAGTCGAACCCGGAACCTCGGACATGGGCCGTCCGCAGTCTGCCGATTTAGCTACCAGAGCACATACGCTTTCATATCCGAATTCGCACATTTGTAATCAATCAGATTCCGAGTAAAGGTTAGTCTTTCAATAATGATTTTGCCTATAGGTAATCGAATTGAAAGTGGTTGGGCACTGTAGTAGTATTTTTTATTGACCATTTCATACATTGAGTACATTAAAGTCATAATATAATATTAACAACCAATTCAAAAATTTAAAGCTCACATTAGTCTGAATGGTTTATGTCAAATACAAAATAAAATTTAGTGTAATACCAGTGGCGCACCCAAGGGGGGGTTTTGGGGGTTAGAACCCCCCCCCGAAATTTAACACTGATATAATGAATTTTATATGAATATTATACTGTATGTTCTTCCGCTCTTAATAATACCTTGTTATTTAAATTTAAATCATAGTTTAAAATAAAAAATTATATTACTTTTGATTTTTTTCTTTGTTTATTAATTGTGTAAACTTCATTATTTATTGTTATCAAGATTAATATTCAATATACAATTTTTTGTCAGTAAAATACCATTTTTTTGAGTGTCGGATCATATATTTTTTGGTTCATCTGGCAACGCTGGCTCCAAGTAGTCATGTGATGATTGTGAGCAAGTTGCTATCGTTATTTACTCTGTGTTATCGTCGTAAAAAAACTCAAAACTTGGAAGAGATCTTTTCGTCACTCGTGCGTCATAAATTAAAAAACAAATAGCAAGTGTGTGTTAGTTTTATTCTTTACCTACTTAATATAGTTGAGTATAAAAGCTACAATAATAAAAATGTCAAAGCGGCAGTTAGATATGTTGGACTTTTTTTCAAAAAAGCCTAAAAGTTCTTTGCAAGTTACAGAAGAACCTCAAAAAGAACATATTAAAGCTTTTAAAGGTAAGCATCCAGTGTTTATTTGATTATAATTATTTTAAGTTTAGGAGAAAATGGGGAAAACTATGACCTAACCTTAAATTAATAAAATATGAGAGTTTACTGGATGGTGCGTTGTTGCCACTTTGTAACTTTAAGTTTGCAATTATTATTTTTTTAGCGAAACTTTTGTTTTATCAATTTTATATTTTATTTTTTCTTTAAGCAATAAATAAAAATTGAAAATTATCTCAATGATCGGTCTTTTAATTTAAATAAAATATTTGTTAAAAAAAGTTAGTTTGATATTACGCGTGATTCGTGATCTTAAATGTATTTTTCCGCTTTCACTTTTAGTATACTTATTTTAATTTTAATTTTAGCGACTGGAAACGATATCCCTGAAAATGAGCTACAGACTGAGCAAGCAAATAATCAAATGACAAGTAAAGAATGCTGGGATTCCTACGATATAGCTAATTTTGTAAATACAACGTTGACAAATATTAGGAAGAAAGAAGTTTTAGACAAATTGTGGTATCCATCAGAGACGTTCTCCTACCCTTCATCAGGTACGAGGAACTTAAAATTTCAGTCTAAATGGCTTCACAAGTGGAAATGGATAAGCTATTCTAAAAAAGATGATGATGCCTATTGCAAATATTGTGTTTTGTTTCATACATCAGTCAGTGTAGGATTCGGAAAACACGAAAATTTAGGACAGTTAAGCATGCTACCTTTTAATAATTGGAAGAAAGCAACAGAACGTTTTCACGAGCACTACCATAAAGAAAATACCGAAAAAGTTGATATAATGTGCAAAATAACAACAGGTGGGGGTTTCTTGTTCGTGTAATAAATTTAAAAAAATAATTTAATTTAACGAGTTACTTAGGATTATTTTTTGTAGAGGTGCAAGAGCCAGTTCATTTTCAGTTAAATCGCGAAGAAAATAAACAAATTATGGAAAACAGAAAGAAGTTAATACCGATTATAGAGACTATTTTATTCTGCGGAAGACAAGGACTAGCACTAAGGGGCCACCGCGATGGAGGAAGAGTGCTTGATAATGATGATGTATCTATTGATGCAAATGAGGGGAATTTTCGGGAACTCCTAAAATATAGAGCACAATATGACGACCACCTATATCATGTACTTTCTAATGCTAAAAATAATGCATTGTATACTAGTTGGAAGATACAGAACGAAATAATTGAAATTAGTAACGATTTAATTCTTGAAAATTTAGTTAAAAAAATTAATTCTTCATTGTACTTTTCCGTACTTGTCGATGAAACAACTGATATTTCCTGCATGGAACAAATGACCCTGTGTATTCGCTGTATTGATTCAACATCTTCCATTATAGAGGAGCTTTTTTGCAGTTTGTACCACTTGATAATGTGATAGGAGAGGGAATTTCAATGGCAATTATAAAAAAACTTAAAGACATGGGAATCGACCTAAATAAATTGCGTGGTCAAGGGTATGACGGTGCAGCAGCTATGAACGGAAAATTTAATGGTGTTCAGGCCCACATTCAAGCTGTTTATCCAAAGGCTCTTTATGTGCACTGTGCGGCACATTCTTTGAACCTAGCTGTTTCAAATTCCTGCGACTTGCCTTTAATTAGAAACTGCTTAGATACTATAGGAAAATTGTATGACTTTTTTCACACCCCGAAACGACAAGTCATTATTAAACAGTGTTTAGCACAATTGGATGTAATTTCTGGCCATGAAAAATTAATTAAATTATGCGCTACTAAGTGGACAGAAAGGTATAACTCTGTTGCTGTCTTTTTAGAGCTCTATGATTCTGTTGTATTAGCACTGGAGAAAATTTCAGAATGGACAGATAAAGATTCAGCCAATGAAGGAAATCAGTTAGGAGCATCCATAAAAAAACCCGAATTTGTTATTTCTTTAGAAGGTGTAAGTCAGGTATTCAGCTTTAGCAGTATTTTATGCAAAGCGTTCCAGCAACGAAATATTGATTTAAAACAGGCTGCAAATTTGGCGGAAGATACAATTGCTGAACTTCAAAGCTTGCGAGAAAATGCAAATTTGGAATTCAAAAAACTATTTTTAAAAGTGAAAAAATTGGGCGAAAAGTTTGAGTTTCCTATAAATAAACCGCGAACTAGCCTACATCAAACAAAAAGGTGTGATGTTGATACGGAAAGTACCGAAGATTATTACCGGATTGCAATATATATTCCATTTTTGGACTCTTTTATAAGTAACATAAAAGAAAGATTTTCAAAACATAAGCAAATATTGGCCGGATTTCAAAGCCTGTTTCCCAAAGATCCGTCCATTCTCACCGACGAAACGATAACTGAATTCCAATCGTTGGTATTATTTTATAAACATGACCTGACAGGAACCAAAGATGAGCTAGTTGTCGAACTTAGACTTTGGTACAGAGCAATTGCTAGACTGCCAAATGAAAAGCGGCCCAGAGATGCCTTAAGCGCATTACAACACGTTACTGACACCTTTACAAATATCAGGACATTACTCCATATATTAGCTAAACTGCCTGTCTCTACTGCTGAAGGTGAAAGTAGTTTTTCAACTCTGCGACGACTCAAAAGTTATTTGAGAAACAGTACCTCGGAAAACCGGTTAAATGGCCTGACTCTTTTGCATATTTATAGAAATATGACTCCGTCTGTAGAAAATATTTTAAATAGGTTCGCCGAGAAGCCTAGAAAATTAAAACTCTGCTTGGCTTAATAGGGCTTTTTTGTTGCCAATATAGCTTGAATGTTTTTTCCTTCAAATTTTATTTTCCCAATCCAAATAAATGTATGTAGTATGTTCTTTTAGTTTTCGTCAATAAAAATAACAAAAAACTTGTGAAATCTGCTTTTTTGTTGGTTTTCTGTGTTCAGCCTTCATCATCATGAAACCCCCCCCAAACAAAAATCCTGGATGCGCCACTGTGTAATACAGACACATTTTTGTTAAAACAAGTAAGGTAAATATTATTAACTAAAACAGTTAGTCAGTATTAATAATATTAAAACAAGTAAAATCAATATTAATAATTAAAATGATTAAAATCAATATAAGTAATTAAAAAAAAAAGGGAACAAGAACATATTAAAATTAATACATACAAAATTATTTATTGTTATAATAATTTCAAACCCAAGATGAAATCATTACATTATATTATTTGCGTGCCAAACCCAAATAATTCTAAAAGCTTATTAACTTACTGTGTTAGAGTTGTTGAAATATCACCACACTGATTTAAGTCAAACCATGATACATCTTGGTATAAAATCTTTTCCATAAATTTTACTTTTATTTTAAAAATCTGAAAAAAAATTAATAATAATAATAACTCTTATTCTATTTTGCACGATTAAAGAAAGATTTTGTTAGTTTTGTGTTATTTAAAATAGTTGTTTATTCAGAAAATGTATATTATGTTTATTGTTGTAACTAATAATGATTCTACAAATAATATTTAGTTAATACAATTTTGTATTATTTATTTTACACCTCTAAAATTATTTAACAGTGTAATGAGATGCGTGTAAAAAATGCTATTGAAAATGTAAAATTCTTGTATTTTGTCGAAGTAAATTCAAAAGCCCGCCAATTTTTAAACTAAAATAGCATTACAGTTTTTTATATTACCGACTGAGTATTAGTTGCAAAAAACTATCCCATATGTCGCTGAAGGCAAACATGTTGCAAAATTTCTGTGAGGAATCTATCTGCAACTCTTAATTATCCTTCCTCCATGGTCGAGTCCATCAAAATCGTCCCAACAGTGGTAGGAGCAACATAGGAGATCCCGATAAAATTAACAAAGAGTCTCGTAGTCGCTGGACTACATAAAAGTCCTCTCTATGCAGCTCCAGAAGGCAGTCATTCTGTCGACTTGCAACATAAAGCGAAAGGTACTAAACCATAAAATTATAATAGAATCTCTGTAATTTTTTTTATTTGTGATAACGTATAAAATTATTATTTGTGTTGATCTGTAAGTAGCCATAGAATGTTTATTCACCTTGTATGACATTTTAATTATATTGTAAATATTTAGACAATCTCTTTCACAACACTAAATACTTAAAAAAAAATAATATAAAATTGTATTTATGTATAAGCCACTGGAATACTTCGTCTGAAGTCATGAAATGTGTCTGAAAATATCGAAAGCTTTAAATGTGTGCAACGAGAAGACAACACTCTTCAGAGACATTTAAGAAAAATGCAGGCAACCCTCCCATTAAAAACTCCTTGATATTATTTACTTGAAACAAAAATCTGCAAATAATTTTTTCTGTACCCTCAAGGACTTAGCTATTCTATACACACACCAGAAAACGAAAAAGTACGCTATTGCATTTAACAGAACGAATATATTTCATATCCATTCTATCTAGTAAGAATACTGCAAAAAAAATAATATCCACCATTCACAGTTCATATTTTGGTTACCCGGGGCAATTATTCTGTCAAACTAATAATCAGTATATTTTTTGGTTATTGAGATTAAATGTACATTAAAATGAGTTATTCTTGTATAGAATCGATAAATAATAGCATTTATATTATTATTTATTTACAAATAAACCATACATTTTAATAAAACTATATGAAATCAATTAAAATGATATGTGGCAATGAAGCAGTGACTAGGTCATTTGGCTTTCACGCAGAGGTTTCGGGTTCAATTCTAGGATTGAAGACTAATTAAATTAATTTATTTTATTATATAAATTAGTACAAGTATTAGAAATTAAAAATTTAAAAAAAACCGACTTCAAAAACGTGCAGATGCCATCACCACATCTTAATCAAATTTAAATGGGACCACCCCTGAGGTACCCCCTTACTAACAAAAAAAGAATCATATAAATCGGACAAGGTGGTAAAGTATTATCGCTAAACATACATGAAGAATGAAGAGTTTGAGGATTTTCTCATGGATCCAGTTATTAGATTTTGACCAAATGTATATGAGACCACCCCTGAAGTACCCCCTTTCTAACAAAAAAAGACTCATTGAAATCGGACACCGTGTTAAAGAATTATGGCTGAACATACATAAAAAAAAAATATCGCGACGAATTGAGAACCTCCTCCTTTTTTGAAGTCGGTTAAAAAGTCATAAATAATTTTGAAATTAGTTATTTTATCTTAACAAAAAATAATTTTTAAAATTTTTACATTTTCTTTAGTGGTAAAAAAATGTACTGTACAACTCAAGTGGATTGTCCATATCGCAATCAGATGATTGAGCACTCCACCTATGGCGTCGTGCTCAAACTGCGTTTTCGTGCGATATCGCCATCATATCCACTCTTGTTGCACAAACTACTATTCAAAAGTTTACAATTAAGTAAATCTGTAGTCTGGTTCACGAGCAAGGAGGTACATATCACCTTAGAAGGATGCACAATGGGACTAGTGAGGCCTAAGTGCCGTGGGGTAACCCACCTTCCACACGTTATAGATGCAGAAAGGTTTACAAAGATTTCTTATTATTGAATATTTCCTGAAATTTTCACGAAAATAGGAATAAGAAAAGGCTCAGAGGGTATTAAAAAATGTTTCAAGGTGTTCGATTTGCTCTTAATAAAATTGTAAAAGCTCTAAAACGTAGATGATTGTAATAAAATTATAATTCTGATGATGGTTGCTACACTCATTCATTAGTTAAAAACTAATACATACTATTTATGTATAATTTAAAACGTACTATGTATGTATAATTTTTTGTAAAATTGGATAAACATATACAATTTATTAATGTATAATTATACAAGATTTTTTAATTACATCATTAACATCTACCTATAAAAATAAATGATTATTACCAGATTGATTTATGATTTTAATAATTATTTGTAATGAATTTTAATTAGGTGTTAAATCGAGGAGGTTTGTTTCATTTGAATTTTCCAATTTCCAAATTGGCGGTCTGTAGGACTTAAATAGTCTAATTTATCGTTTTGTTTGAACCCCATTTGTTCCCTCTAGAGAAAATAGATCAGTCATCGATCAGGTATTTATATTAAAACAAATAATAGATAATAGTCTAGATCAAAACTTACCATTATATATAATTTTCATCGATTTTAAACAAGCTTATGATAAGATAAAACGAGAAAAAATATATAGGGCGATGCAAAAATTAGGAATACAGGAAAACCTCATAAGATTAATAAAAATGACACTAACTGGAACAGATTATAAAGTGCTTGTTAATGGTCAAACATCAGACAAATTTAAAGTTGATAAAGGACTGAGACAGGGAGATCCACTATCCACGACATTATTTAACATAATTTTAGACTCTGCAGTAAGACAAAGTGGAATTCAAACAAAAGGTACGATATATAATCAGAAAAGTCAATTGATGGCCTACGCAGATGATTTGGTAATCCTAGCAAGAACAAGAGAAAATTTAGAAATAACAACAAAGAAGTTAGAAAAAGATGCAAAAGAAATGGGGTTAATAATCAATGAAGTAAACACAAAATTCATGTTAGTAGAAAAAATGCCAGGAAATATACAGAATAGAGAATTAAGAATAGACACTGAAGGATCAAAGTACAAGTTTGAGAAAGTGACCAAATTCAGCTATTTAGGAGTAACAATAAGCGATAATGGTGAAGAGACAGAAGAAATAAAAGAACGAATAGCCAAAGAAATAAAATGTACAGGAGAAATGCTTCATCTCCTTAGATCCAAGAATTTGTCAAAAAACCTAAAGAAGAGAATCTATAAAACAATAATCAGGCCAGTAGTCACTTACGGAAGCCAGGTATGGAAATTAAACAAAAAAGAAAAAACTTATTGGAAATATTCGAGCAAAAAGTACTTAGAAAGATATATGGCGGAAAGAAAGTAAATAATGTATGGCAAAGAAGAACAAATGTTGAAATAAATGAATTATATGGAGAACCCTCTATAACAAATGTAGCCAGGGCACAGCGAATAAGGTGGTTAGGACATGTAGCGAGACTAGCAGATGAAAGACCAACAAAGCAAGTATGTCTGTAATTACTACAGCTAGCTGTATCACCTTTTTTAAAGATAGGTACTACGATAGAGGTTTTGAAAGCTGTTGGAAAAAGAGATTTTTTAATGCAATTACTAGCAAGACCCTTAAGCCACCCACGTTTGACGGTCAGACAACATGAGAAACATATCGACTCCAATTTGAAGCTTCAGCTAGAGCCAATGGCTGGACAGAGAAAGAGACGGCGGCTTCATTAATAGTGTCATTGCGAGGTCAGGCAGCAATTATTTTATACTTACTTCCACAAGGAGAACCCAGTTACTCATCTCTCGTCCAAGCTTTGAAGACAAGATATGGCCAGCAGCATTTGAAACAGGTTTTCCAAAGCCAGCTAAAAGTTCGTAGTCAGAAACACAGTGAGAGTCTACAAGAATTCGAAGCCGATATTAAAAGATTGCTGTATCTGGCCTATCCACAGGCACCTAAAGATTTATTAGAACAAATCGGCATACAAGCATTCATTGATGGACTACAGGACGTGGAAATGCAGCAGGCTCTTCGGCTACAACACCACAAGACGTTGAGTGAGACGCTAATAGCAGCCCAGGAATACGAAGCAGCAAAAACTATATCTAGATCTTCTCGTGCAAAATTGAGAGAAATTAGATTCCAAGAAAGTGAAGAGGCCCCTACTAATACTGCCCTTCAACCTACCCTTTCACAGATTTTAAATATCCTGCAAAATAGCCTGCGAAATAGCCAAAATGAGAACAGAAGATGCTTCAATTGCGGAAGAATCGGACACCTTCAAAGAACCTGTCGAAGCAGGGCTCGTTCTATGAATCGAGATTCGGAGAATGATACCAGAAATTCACCTAAATCAACCTCCCGAAGCCCGTCACGAAGTCCAACAAGAAATAGTTACAGCAGATATGCCTCCCGGAGAAGCCGATCACCCACACCTAGCCGGCTTTCTAGAAAAAACCAGGGAAACGAATAAAGGTCGACACTACGGGGCAGGCGTTGGCTGTGTCAGAGGGCCCAAAAATTCGCACTTACACTTTAAATAAAAATGAACAAAATCTATTGGTCAAGGGGTATATTGATAACCAAGAAGGCACCTTCGTCCTTTATACTGGTGCAACCAAGTCTTTTATTCGAACAGGAATCCTGCATCGGAAACCACGACCAACTCGAAGAAGCTTAGTTCTGGAAACAGCTACAGGGCACACTACTCCTGTTCTAGGCGAGATATTAGCAACCGTACAGATTGGTAATACCCTGATAGAACACTTATTTCTGGTGGCCGATATTAAGGATCAGCGTGTCCTTGGAATGGACATAATGCAAAATAAGTTTATCATCGACCTTCAAAACAAGATCTTGGTGATTGGAAACGAGGAAATTGTACTAAATTCGGAAGAAAAGATTCAACCGATAAAGGTTCTGGTGGAAAAAGACATAGAAGTACCCTAAAATTCTGAAGATGTCGTCTCGGCGAGACTTAGCGAGAAATCACACGGCTTACATGTAGGCATTGTGGAAAGTACAGAATCTGTGAGTGACGGAATTCTGGTAGCTAGGTGTCTTGTTAACGTTGATCAACTAATTCCAGTAAGGGTTGCCAATTTATAGAAGAGACCATTCAAACTGAAGAAAGGACAAGCCATAGGGCTCTGTACACTCGTGGAAAACATAATCAAGTGCGAAGACCGTTCCTTGGGGAAAGCCACCACAAGTAACCCAGTTGACGCCAGCTTTGTGAAACGGCTAGTTAAAAATTATGACCATCTGACAGATGAACTTAGAAAAGTCAAAGAATTTATCATTAGAGAGTTGAAGTGATGCTAGGAACGTAAACGTATACGTGAAAATTGACATCTACGCATGCGCATTCAAATATCCGTCACGTTTACTTCTACGTACACATACGTAAGCTTGCGGGCTCTGGCGTATGCACGTAACCTCCGAGCAATTACTACGCTCGGAGCACGTAACGCAAATAACATAACCTCTCTTTTAATTGGAAATGAAAAAATCCTAATAATAACTGTCATTATCTGTCACGACACGTAAATGTCACGATGCGTTTAACAACTTCAACTTATATTTTGGACTATGCCGTAAACATTATTTTTGTGCGAATATTATTGAAGAAGCTTCTGGTCCCTGGTGCTCACCTGTGATCCTAGTTACCAATAAAGACGGATCTACTCGTTTTTGTATAGACTATTGAAGATTAAATCAGATAACGCAAAAAGACAGCTATCCACTTCCACGAATTGACGACACACTAAACACCCTATCAGGTGCAAAATGATTTTCCACGCTAGACTTGAAAAGCGGATAGTGGCAAGTGGAAGTACACCCTGATGATCGAGACAAAACAGCTTTTTCAACTGGCAGCAGACTATACCGATTCCAGGTTCTCCCGTTTGGTCTCTGTAATACCCCAGCTACCTTTGAACGACTAATGGAAATAGTTTTGAAAGGGTTAACCTGGAAAACTTGTCTAGTGTATCTCGATGACATAATGATCATGTCAAAAACTTTTGATGAACATCTAACAAATATAAGTGAAGTATTTGACAGATTAAGAAATGCCAATCTAAAGCTTAATCACAATAAATGTTCACGGAAGGAATCAAAACTGACCCGGAGAAAATTATCACTATCAAAGATTGGCCTAAACCAAAAGATAAAAGAGAAATTAGAAGTTTTCTTGGTCTGTGCTCATATTATCGGAAATTCGTTAAAGACTTTGGCCGAATTGCTAAACCCCTTCATCGACTAACTGAAAACAATAGTCTATTTGACTGGACGCCGGATTGCCAAAATGCCTTCACCGAGTTGAAAAAGCGATTGACCACAGCACCCATCCTAGCCTATCCTCGAGAAAAAGGACAATTTATTTTGGACTGTGGTGCATCCCAACACGGCGTGGGCGCCGTGCTATCCCAAGAACAAGAGGGGGAAGAGAAAGTAATCGCTTACTTTAGTAAGACCTTGGGAAAGCTGAGAAGAATTATTGCGTCACCAGGAAAGAACTATTAGCTATTGTCAAAGCCCTTGAACACTTCCATACTTACGTTATAGGAAAAGTACAAATTCGAAAAGAAGTGCAATGTCACCCATCATACTTTAGTGTGCTGCGATCATCATAAGTAAAAGTACGAGTAAAAGAAGATAGAATAGTCCAGAAATGTCGGGAAACGTCATTATTCGTCAAGAACATTCTAGGCATTTTGAGAAGGTTCGCGAAAGATCAAGCAAGCTATATATATAAGCCGATGATCCTGACGTCAGTTTTCAGTTTTATGATAGACGTTACATGTTAATGTTATCAGTTAAATAGTTGTTGTAAAAGTTGAGTTCAAATAAATTGCGATACCAAAAACCTGCGTAACAATATATATACACTATCAATTAATTTGACAGAATTTAAATTACTGTTGGGTTCTAATTAACAGTGCTGTTCCTAAAGTGGCACTGGGAAACAGTAACAAAGCCTACACAGAACACGAGACGAAATAACTTTAGCAGTTGAAGCCGATGACACACAAAAAAATATATATATAGTTAGCGGGATACCAAATATAAACTGTGATTGGCGGATTCCATATGCATCTAGAATGGCTATTGAATTATAACGGTTCAGTAGACTGATATAAATATTTATTGGTTGTGATATTTGTGCAAAACCAAACTTTTCTTTCCTCTTGGGTTATTAACCGTAAAATGGCTATAAATGATCATTTTCTAATTTTGAATGTACACTTTTGCGCTAGGGAGTTTAATTTTTATACATTTAGTATCGTGCACATTTTTTTCAATCGGGCGATTCTATATCACCCGAGTCCAAACTTTGAGGCAGCGTAATTTCTGTAGCTTTCTATTCACTATTCACTGATTTTGTTATTGTCAGTGCCATGGTTAAATCAGTGCTCGACTTGGCACTGGCAAATAATGAATAGTCACTGATTCTCAATGGTTTCCAGAGATTATCTTCTTAATGTCATAATGTCGTTATATATATTTTTTATTTTATCCTGGGGGCGCCAGACATTTAGGGGGTGGCCGTGCCCATCCCACCCCCCTCTAGCTACGCCAATGGCATAGGATGATTATTATAAATTATAATAGAACAGATTTTTGATGTGTGACACTCGAACTTTATTGAATTAAATATTAACAAATTCATAAAAGACTCACCTGTCGAGTAGCACTATAACTGAACAAAACAACTGACAAATACCCTGAAGAAACCAATGTGAGGCCTGAACATAAACATTGATAAATATATATCCAGAGTTTGTCATTCATGTTATGTAAATGGGGTGCATTTTCTTCTTGATTAGTATAGTTTTGTTCAAAAGAGGCATATTCTATAATTCCATCAATACAATCGCCAAATCCAAACATAAGTAATGTAAAGGCTAGTCCATTGATGATAGAGCATATTATTCCAATGAAAATACATAGTTTGTCTACCCATGTAGCATATTGGAACTAAAAATATATTTGATTATAGAATAAATGTATGAACATTGTGACTCGTAATAAAGAACGTGCAGATGTGTCCAAATAGATAGTAAATTAGGTAATAAAAATTGATTTTAAAATCGTGATTTTTGAAATACATATAAATGAAACCTCAGTTAAAATGTAGATATAATTATAACTTTTAAAAATCGAATTAAATGCTAATAATAACCATTTTGATTGACTGCATGTATTAATACTGAATTGTACAAACAGTGGAAGAGAGCAAAAACTGGTACGATAAAGAAGTGCTAGTACGGGCGATGTGTTTAAAAATTATCGTTAAACAAATTTAGCTGAAACGAAGATTGAATTAAAATTAATTCTACATAACTTCCATCAGAACAGTTGTATTTATATAATTTATTGACATAGGTAATAAAAACGAGATCGGAAAACATAGAGAAACAGTTTTAAGGAGCAATAGCGAGTAGAGAAGAAAATGTTAGTAGAGTTGAAAACTTTAAAAAAATGTGTATTTTTCTGGAGAGAAAATTAAAGAAAAATAATATAATTATGTATGAATTGCCAAAAATAAACAAAACTCATAATGTACCCAAACACATTTTAAAAATATTAAATGATTGGTTAGAAGCAAGTATAGTCCTGGTGATATAAATAATATTTCCAAAGATAGCTTCAGAATAATTTTCAAAAACAAAAGAAAATAAAAATAAAAAGTGCTTTATGTTTAAAATTTTTAATTATTCAAAATAATTTCCAAACACCCCGTACAACAAACAACGTACAAGTAATGGCTATTTATGAAACCATTTACTAAATGTCTTGTTTTATGTAACGAGTGAATATTTGCGGGACGAGCAGAGCGAATTAATTAGATTAGATAATAAAGCAATATCAAAAAGAATTAAAATAGGAGAACATGAATTCGAACAAGTAGAAAAGTTTAAATATTTGGGAATCACAACCCTCTAAAACTGGAAACAGGAAACTTTCATAGCAAATAAAAATATTCACTACAAAATAAATCATTCCACGCAAACAATTATATAAAAGCAAATTGCTTACAAAGAACACGAAAATGAAGATCTACAACGCAATAATCAGACCAATATCATTATAACAAAAAAAAAGGTGAAGAATATCTGAAAATTACGAAAAGAAAAATTATTCAGGTAATATTAGGCCCAATTAAAATCACATAAGAAGAATACATAATTAGAACAAATGAAATTAAACAAGAGCTAAAAGAAGGCATAATAACATGAATAAAGCAATCCCCAGAGGTAGATGGTTAGAACAGATTTGGAGAGCGGGAAATGGAAACTGTTACAATGAGGTAGAAGGAAACTCCATCTTCCAGATTTTTCATTTTACCGATTAGCTGAATTACGAACTTCCCATTAAAATAAAACAAAAAACTGTTGGTGAATAATTTTACAAACTGTTGGTGATTAATTGTGAAGGTGGTTTAGAAGACTTCAAGACTTGGGGCACACATCGCCCAAATCTACAAGAATTACGGACTGGTGAAGACAGCATCGCAGCTCCAGTGACGTTTTTGGGATTATTAACTAATGATAGTTACTCTTTTATTGTAAGTACAATTTATGGCAGATTTTACTTTTGACGAATTAGAGAAACGTTCATTGCAATTAAAAATCGATTCACCTTCAACTGATCTTGATTCAGATTCAGATACTAATTCAACAGTAACAACTAATTTACAAGAAGTAACACATAATTTAGAAGTAACAAATAATTTACAAGGAACCAATAATTTACAAGAATTAAATATGGCTTTCAAACCTGAATTTCTTAATTGTATACTTGAATTCGATGGTAATCCTAATGATTTAAGTAGATTTTTAGCAGTAAGTGAATCTTTGCTCACACAATTTTATGATAGAGAACATCTATAAAATTTTCAAAATACATATTTATTGAATTCAATTATTTCAAAATTAAGGGATAATGCTAAAACAGTAGTTAATATTTAAAATTGTGCAAATTGGAACGATTTAAAAAATACTTTAACTAGAAATGTATCTGATCAAAGAGATGAAGTTTGTTTAAACAGGGATCTTGTAATGTTAAGACAAAATCAAAATGAATCGGCACAGAATTATTATGACAGATGTTTACATATATTAAATTTATTATGTAGTTATGTTAACATACATGAAATAACAGACACAACAAAAAATTTGAAAAGAGAATTATATTAAAATTTAACATTAAAAACATGTTTGTCAGGATTAAAAGAGCCCTTAGGGACAACCATAAGATGCATGAAGCCAACCACACTTAGTTAGGCTTTGCAATTTGTTTTGGAAGAAGGTAATGCTCATTATTTGGAAAAAAATTCTCGCATTTTTCAAAATCAAAACCCTTCTCGCAATTTTCAAAATCAAAACCCTTCTCACACTTTTTAAAATCAAAATTCTTCTCGCAATTTCCAAAATCAAAATTCTTCTCGAAATGTGCCAGTACAAAATACGTTCAGAAATTGTTAGGACCTAATCCCAATCAAAGATCAATTTTTCAATATAATAACAATAATTATGTTCCACCGAATCAAAATAGACATTTTTCAAATAATTTTAACACACCAAATGATTTTTTCTACAAACAAAGAAATAATTTTCCGTCTCAACCTTTTAATGTAAATTCGAGACCCATACAACGTAATTACCCAACTAATGCCCAAGTTTTCGGACAGAATTATCCAAATAGAAATACAAATGTATTTAAACCAAATCAAAAAACAAATTTACCAAACCCTACACCTATGTCAGTATCAACTAGGAATACTGGACCAAATTATTCGAGACCAGGACCTTCTAATTATTTTAGAAATTCGGCGGGTCAGTCACCAAATTTTACCTTCGAAGAGTTATTTAACTCTCAAACAGAACCTATATATAATTATACGGTTGAAAACCCTGTAAATCAATATAATAATGAATATAATTATTCTGAAGAAATTAATGATAATAAAGGACAAACTCCAAATTTTCGGTAAAGGCATCGGAACAAAATAACTCGCAACAAAATCCCATACACATTTCAATAAATTGTGCGGATTTAAAATTATTGGTGGACACAGGATCTTCAAAATCATTCATTAACCCTGAAGTAGCTGAACGATTTTACACAAATGATATAATAGATGAACCATTTGTAATGACTACAGTTTTCCAAAAATCAGCACATAAACATAGTATAAATATTAATGCATCTAAAATTTTTAATCTTTATAATAATGAGAAATTAAAAATCTTTTTATTTAAGTTCCACAATGTATTTAATGGCTTAATAGGCATAGATAATATTAAGTTTTTACAAGCAAATAAAATTTTTCAACAAGGATTTATTGTTACATTAGTTGCAAATATTCCACTTCATTATCATAAGATAGGCGCTTCTAAATACTCTAACCATAATAACACAGTCTCAATTGATCCTAGAACTTAGCAAATAATTAAAATAAAGACCTCCATACAAAACGGCGATATAATTATTTCTTATGAAAAACTTAATAATTGTGAGATACCGGAATGTGTTACTACAGCAAAAGATGGTTACGCATTAACCACAATTATAAACAGTGATATCAATACAAAAACACCTAATTTGTTAAAACCTATTTTAGAAGAAAAATTTGAAGAGAACGAAATTTTAAATTTAGAAATAAACAATATTGATTCATGTAATAATAAAAGTGCAAATTCAAAACATATTAAAACAAAACCTAACAGTTTAGAAATAGCATCCTTAGATATAAACGAAGATGTTAATAACAAAATAGTTCCACAAAAGTTAGCCAATTCACATCCTAAATTGGATATCAAAAAATAGACAAAGTTCAAGTATATAAACTAAAGGTTAATTTAAACAATAAAAAGTTTCCTAAAATAATTTCATATATTTAAAAATAATTTGCACAAAATAAAATTAAAAATAAAATGAAAAAGCCAAGAATTTATAAATGTAACAGAAAGGAATAAAATTTAAAAAATATTCAAACTTCAATAGAAAAAGAAAAAGATTCAAAAAATTGTTTATACTCTAACAGAAATAAAACTAGGTTTAAAAAAATATAGTCTTATTTCTATTTTTTTTTTTTAATTTATAAAATTAGACAAAAACATAGATATATCAAAAGACAATGAACCTTCCGAAACTCAAAATAAAAATATATCAGTTGATGATCATACTGTACATTCTAATTTGGATGATAAACTTGTTATCGGAATCCCTATAATAGACTATGCAGTAAATAATGGAAAAAGCCAAATAATAATAATAAGACTCAGTCCTTCATTCACCCGCGAAACCAAAAATCAAAATTATTTTTGGTAATAAGCAAAGGTTTTATATACAAATTTCACAAACCATACCGAGCAAGATATTATTGACTTTATTAAGGAGTACATTGCTCCAGGAGTAGAATATTATTTATATTTTGAGAAATCTACCCTTTATGAACCTTTTTCAGTTTGTTTACAAAAACACTTTAAATCATCCCTAGTAAAATTTAGGAAATGTAATAAAAAATTAATAGATGTTATCGATAAAACACACAATAGGGATTGCAATCCGGAAAATCGGATCCGGTAATCCAGCGGATCCGGCATTAATTTACACTTACCGGATCCGGTACAAATATACCGGATCCGATGACCGTATCCGGAGATTGCATATTTTTGGAAAAATAAGTTCTTATAAAGGTTTAAAAACAAAGCATTGCATTGATCTAAGTTCTGAAAGTAGAAAATTAAAACGTCCCAACCATGGAGGAAGGATAATGTCCCAACATTGATCCATCTCCTAAACCATCCACATTAAAAACTGTATCAGCTGATATCATTTCTAAGGAAGAAATACCCAAGAAAAAGTCTAAAATAATTGACAGTTATTTTAAGAAGAAAAACTCGATGGAAAAGATGATCTCCAGAATGGTCTATAAAGATGATGTGCCCCTCAGTTTATTTTGAACATCA